TCGGTCTTTTAAGTCTGTCAAGAGTCAAGTCTTACTTATTCATTGACTTGTTCCTAGAATATGAATGGATAAGTTCAAGTCATCTAGAGCTATGAGTTACAATTAATAAATATGCTTGTTCAACAGGCTTCAATATTTAGAACCATTTTACCATGTTTACTGTAATTGAAAAGTAATGAACAGTTCAATCCTTTTGGTATGATATTTGATGCTAGTGTGAATTGCATAACATTTATGATTAAACTTAAATGAACTAATATAACTATGGCTATTAACCCTTCCCTTGTATCCTTCACATAACCTCTAAATCATCTTCATATCCATGGCCTAAATGGGGAAGGAGGGAGGGGTTACAAATAGTGACCGAGGATAGTTTGAATCAAAGCAAGAAGACGTAATACTCAAAACTAGAAAGATTGGAGACCATTTATACCCTTCCTAATATTTTGCCTAATACATAACACTAAAATCTATTTTGTCAGACACTTGCTGATTCTTTTATCAATACCTCAACATCAGGCAATGCATGATCTATCCAATGGATTAAAGATTATACTTGATTCTAATATGGCAAAATTAATTTTTTGTATGAACTGCATAGAGCATCATTTTGCAGTTATAATAAAATGCATCCATTCATTCATTGGCTCATAGTTAACAAAAAAGCTATTATCTGGAAGGTAAAGTATAATTTCTATTAGTATTTAGCAAAATAATTGCAAGATAAACAATTTACACATGTTTCTGATATGCTGTATTTTCAATGATTCCTTCAATAGTGGTTCGGTATATGTTTTTGAAATACTTCAAATAATTCCTAAACAAATCTGTTTAGTGTATGAAATCAAAAAAAGTAGATACATTTGTCCCATACTTGGACATGTTTCAGATACATATAGCAGGTTTATAAATACTTGTATTTTTATCAGCGTGCAGATATAGCTAATGTCCCGGCCTGAAAGGGCAGATATATTACACCTGGCCACTAAGTCATAATCATCATTTGTGTATGATTAGCGATGAGGGAAGTAGCATACTTAATACATATGTTAATAATCAATGATTCCAGAATATGTGGATGAATACTTAAAAAACAGGAGAATCCTCCTAAGGCCAAGAAAACAAAATTAGACATGAATACATTCATATGGTTGAATTTTTTCTAACTCTGGCCAATATACCAATACGCGATAACGTTTAGTTTTCGTTCAGTTTAGTTAACTCTCGTTTGAAGAGCTCTCATGTACGGTACAACATCGTCTACATCCGGGTTCTTTCCCATTGGATTACACAGGGGTGCTATTTTCAATGCCGCACTGCGACTTTATTAAACATTTATGTAGAGTTGCATTTGCAGAAATGATAGGCATGTATGTAATTAAGATATATAACAAGGCTTTTTGAACTGTAATCCCCAAATCCGAAGAAATCTGTAGTTGAAAATGCCGTCCAATTCCAGTGACGTCACTGATTTCCATAATTGCTCAGACTTCATCGAAGATCGAAAAAATATCAATAATGTTACTTCGAATCTCCGATTATCTATCTGATTATTCAATAGATTGGATCATATAACTATGCTTGAGGGCTGATGGAAGGTCAGAAGCTGAGAAACGTTCAGAGTATAGACTCATTCGGCGGGCCAATGAAAATTTGTCCCTTCCAAAGCGATGCATCATGGGAGATATTTATGTAAATTACCACCTGAACTCTTATCGCGAATAGGAGTATTGAACAATGTGAACCAGATAAGAAAGATTGATATGGGATAAACAGATCATCCTATAGTCAGTTCATGCTATTAGGATTATCCCTTGGCGAATATAATATATCTTCCCTCAGAACCTAAGGCCTTTGGCCAATAGAAAATATCTTCCCTCGGGACCAACGACCCTAGGCCAGATATATTATATTGGCCTCGGGATAATTCCAATACCCTGAACCTCATAGAGGATAATCTCTATTCGTCTTCATCAATTATTATTATACATATAAATCGGGATATAAATATAACCTAAAGTAAGAAATCACATTCTCTAACTAGTAATATTTGATTTTAAAATTGGTAAATGATGATTATGTCACAATAGAATTGATGACCATGATTTTTTTGAGAATAAAACAGACAAAACGAAGGCTAACAAAAGTCTTTAAAAATTTGGGTAAAACATAAATATTTTAAAATTGCTTGTTTATCATCATTATTTCTTCGATCTCAAAACCCCAAAAATTGAGTGTTACAAATTGTTTCAAGTTAAAGTATGCCTAATTTCATGAGCAAACTAGTAAATATATAAGCACAAGTGCCAAAGGGAAAGGACCAAAAGTTGTAATGGAACTTAGTAAGAAAAAGCAAACTCTAAGTTGGATCTTGTTAGATATTTTCCCTCGACAATGCCTTATCTAATTCATCTATATACAAACTACTAGATTCCAAATGCTATTTTACAGGATGGGTGTTCATGAAAGTAACACTAAACATCAGTTTTGTCATAAACTGAACAATGCAGCTAATTGATTCTCCCATCTAAGCAACAGAGCCTCTTTTAATATATTGTAATTTCAAAATTGCCTCTAATTCAAGTTCTTCAATCAAATCTAAAATGGACACAACTGGTAATATCTTTATACCATATGAGTAGAATGTTTGTTTCTTTCAAATTCATGCTTTCGCTAGAAACATGGATATCACTAATTCATAGTTTTGATTCATATTTAAAATCGTGTGCATTATATATGAGGTTTAATTAATGGGAAGTTTTTAATACAGGGAAATACAATATATCTGAGGGAAATACAATATACCTCCCCGAGGGGTTGAGGGTAGAATATTGTATTTCCCAAGGGTTATACCTTGTACCCAAAATTATTTATCATATACTAAAATACGAAAATATGAGAAATTGCACAGAATGAAATTCCTGCAGGGGATTACTGAGCGGGTGATAAACCTGGCGATACATATAGCGGAATCAATTGGTGAATGATCTTGCGTTTTCATACTAAAGTTTGTTTCTGAGTTTTTTCTTATAGTTTTATGTATTTAAAGTTATTTAAGAGACAGGGCCCTTTTTCTAAAGCCCTTTTTAGAAAAATAATTGAGATTACAGAGGATACCTGTTATTTCTGCTTTTTAACACAATTTTAATAGAAAATTCAAATTCCAAACTTCTTATCTCGCTATAATTCATCAATGGAGAATGGGAGTTGAGCAACCAAACTTGGCACAAAGTTAGATCCTAGGATAAACTCTAATCTTAGGGCTTTTATTTTTTGTGATATCTTATATTTGCCTAGCAACCACATAGCAACCGCCTAAAATAACACATTTTACAATATAAATCCACTTAATATATGCTAGGATGCTATAAGACCATTACAAAAAAGTATTCTTATCCTAAAATACAACAATTTTAACATATTTACTGAAGTGACATCACCATGTTGCATAGCAACAACATGGCAACAGGTTACAATGCCCATTTTGACATTTGCAGACCATATATCTATTATATGTTCACTGCTTTTGGATCTCTTCCACATTATTTCTTAACATATAGCAAATGTATTGATGCAGTTATGTCTGACCATTTTCCCTAGCAATGGCTTGAAATAAAGGTTAAATTTGCTTAGCAACGACCCAGCAACATCTTAAAATAGCAATGTTTCTCATAAGAATTTCACTATATATCCACTATATGACTAGAAGAAAATCAATATATATGTCTTTTGTAATTTATAAAGCTTTATAGTTCCTTAAAATCTTTAGTCTCTTGTGTAAAGTATGATGGGACATTTCTTGTCTTACATATGTCAAATTGCAATTCACGTTTCAGTTCTGATTCATCACATTGACACTTGATACATTTTCAGCATTGATACCCCTAAGATAATACTTTATTTTGGTGAATTGCTTCAATTTCCTTTACAGGTGCATAGTTCGATGCAGTAGAATGCACCATGGCATTAGCAGTTCCCTTTGCTGTCACATTTGCTGCATCCACATTTAATTATGACTTAACATGCTATGGATGCTTGGGCAATATTGTCCATCTGGGCACCCACAATTCTGATGGGCTCCTAAACCATCCCCATAGGCTTGGTGAAGGAAAAACTGGATCCACTATATACCACTGCCCCCATACATGTGCTTCTTGTCAAAAGGGCACCTGTAAGATCATTACATAAGTTCCATTGCTTGATGGTAAAATCCAGATGTGGTTATCAGTTCCAGTAAGGATGTGGAACATTGGCAGCGCATATGATCTTTGTGGTCCTAGTGCTCAAGCAAATTCATAAATTGGAATGTAGTGTTAGTTTTGAAAATGCTGTAGCTCAGAGGCACAGGCTATTAGGCAATCACAACATTACTTTCCACCGATCTTATCATAAATGTCCTGCAACCTTTTCGGACACCATGAGACACATCCAAAAACATATGTGTATCTGCCTCTTCCTGGGAGCAGGGACTATTATGGCATAATTAGCAGGATTACTGATGCACTCTCCTTCAATGGTGGAGACAAAGACTCTATCGTCTGCCATAATATGTCTTGAAACAGTTGCTAGTACTGCAAAGAACTCTATCTTGTTGTCATTGTTTCTGAGAAATCCTATCCTAACACCAAACTACCAAGCAATTGGCAAGACTTTCTTGAAAGATAGAGTTCTTTGCACAATTCCTATATCCTTCAGCATCTAAAGTGGTAAAACTTGAAACTTTGAAATTAATGACTTGTATGTTTCAGCAAATCCCAGATAGGATTTTAACCATTTTACAAGTATAACCTTGACCTAACGATTTAATCAGTAAAATATGGTGTCTTGATTTAAAATCTATATACTAGCTATAGTATTTTGAACACGCCCTGCTGGGATACATAAACCCATATGCTGGGTTCAGTGGAATATTACTATCCAAATGTGAAAAATTAACAATGTCATGAGGCAGCTACATATATGTTTTTGCATGTGTCTCATGGTGTCGGAAAAGAAAATCTATGATAAGATCAGGGGACAGAAATGTTATTGTGATAGCCTTAGCCTGTGCCTCTGAGCTACAGATTGAGGTGTATGTAGCATTTTCAAAAGGCAAAACCTATCACTACATTCCAGATCATGCGATTGCTAGAGCACTAGGACCACAAAGATCATGTGCGCTGCCAATGTTCCACACCCATACTGAAACTGATACCATGCCTGGAGTTTACCATCAGAGCAAGGTGACCGTTTTCAAGCAATGGAACTTATGTAATGATCTAACAGGTGTCCTTTTGACTCTAGTAGATCACCCATCAACCGTAACAACAACAGAAGTTATGGGCACAATTGAGAGGTTCATTATCGTAGTTTACCAGCCTACAAACAGCGAGACAAATCTCAATACCATGCGCAGGCACATGTTCACTCATGACAGATGGATACCGATAGATTACCTCCAACATGCGATGCAGCACTCTATAATGTCATGCTCCAAGGAGCACATGTATGGGGGCAAAGGGATATATTGGATCCAGTTCTTCCTTCAACAATTCCTAAACCAATGGAATGGTTTAGGAGCGCATCAGGATTGGGCGTACCCAGATGGACGATACTGTCGCAAGCATCCGAGGTATGTAAAGTCATAATTAAATGTGGATGCACCAAATGTGACTGCAAAGGGAACTGCAAAGGGAACTGCAAATGCCATGGTGTATTTTACTGCACCAAAACTATGCAATTGCAAAGGAAATTGTAGCAATTAACCCAAATAGAGTATTATCTTAGGGGTATTAATGCTGAAAATGTAACAAGGATAAATACAATGAATATTTTGTGTTTACTTTATCTCAGAACTGAAACATGAATTGCAGGACTTTTGTAGTTTAATAAACATGAGACAACAAATGTCCCATCATGCTTTACACAAGAGACTACAGATTTTTGAGTGTGCAGCAACAAAGCTTTATAAATTAAAAGACATACATATTACATAATAGTAGATATATAGTGAGATTTTTATGAGAAACATTGCTATTTTAAGCTGTTGCTAGGTCATTGCTAGGCAAATTTAAGCATTATTTTAAGCCGTTGCTAGGAAGTTGCTAGGGAAAATGGTCAGGCATAACTGCATCATTTATGCTTAAATACAATTTCTGTATTTTAAGAAATAATGTGGAAGGGATCCAAAAGCATACAAGTGAGCATGTAATAGGAATATGGTGTTCAAATGTCAAAATGGGCATTGTAACCTGTTGCCATGTTGTTGCTATGCAACATGGTGATGTCACTTCTGTAAATATGTTTGAATTGTTGTATTTTGGGATAAGAAGACTTTTTGTAATGGTCTTATAGCATCCTAGCATATATTAAGTGGATTTATATTGTAAAATGTGTTATTTTAGATGGTTGCTATGTGGTTGTTAGGCAAATGTATGTTTTCACAAAAGATCAAACAGCTCAGATTAGAGCTTATCTTAGGGTCCAACTTTGTGCCAAGTTTGGTTGCTCAATTTCCATTCTCAATTGGTGAATTATAGTGAGATAAGGAGTTTGAAATTTGAATTTTCTGTTCACATTGTGTTAAAAAGCAGTAATAATGGGTATCCTCTGGAATCTCAATTATTTTTCTAAAAAGGGCTTTAGAAAAAGGGCCCTGTCTCTAAAATGTCTTGAAATACATAGAACAATAAGAAAAAATTCCAAAACGAACTTTAGTATGAAAACGCAAGGTCCCTATGGGGGCCTTGCACCAATTGATTCCACTAATAGAGATTATCCTATATGAGGTTCAGGATATTGAGACTATCCTGAGGCAAATATAATATATCTGCCCGAGGGCGATTATGACGGAGTGGGCAGATATTCTATATCTGCCAGCTCGCAACGGGGCGTAAAGCTATATCTGCCCACTGATGAAAATATAAGTTTTTACAAACCTGCTTTATGTACCTGAAACACGACCAAGTATGGGATAAAGCAGGATATGCAGTACATGTATATCCCCACTCACCTAAGGTATCAATTATATTCATGCATTTTATTTACCTATAACACTAAGTATAGGATAATAACTTTTACTGACAAATTGTATAAGTACATGATTACATTAGTCACAACTACTCACTAAAAGGTTAACTTATTGCATGAAGAAATGTAATTCTACATGAAGATTTCAAATATGATATCACTTATTTGACTGAATTTTGAATTTTGAATGATGTAAAGCAAGATTATTTCTACTTGCATCTAGGTCTATTTCATTGTATAAGTCAACAATTAATAAGGCAAATACATATCACTGACGATGTTAAAAATCTTAATGTTGACTTCCTAAATGTTGAATTCTTTTGATTGTCATGAATTGAAGGTTCACACAAAATCTGAAGATCATCTAGTTTCAAACACAATCTGAATCTCATTGAGTTTGATGCGAAAGCAGTTTTACTTTAATCCAAAATAACAAATATGGTAAATCAATATGTGTCTATGGTAGATGCTAGCGTGTAGTCCAACCAGCACAAGTGCTGCCATCTACCTATCCATTCATCAGTTTAGCACCTAATAAGGTCAGTACTCATGGTAAAGCTTTTGTACCTTGTCTATGGTAAAAATAAATCAAACAGAAATGTTAACTTGACACGACTGGTAATGCCCACCTTGAAGGGTGTAGGGATAAGGGGAAGGGTCAGGATAACACTGATATAAAATATTTAAAGTGTCTAATAATGATAATGAACATATTACAATGTTACATAACATAAGTAGATGCTAATTAAATGTCAATTGTTGTTAGTATAATATCTATTTTTCATTTAATGCTGCAACAAGTACACACGTACCAAAAAGTGCCACGCCCACTTTTCCCTAAAAGCAGCTATGTGTGACTATATTTGATAAATGTTATTGATTTATAGGATCATTATGGACACTTTTCAGTGTTTAAATGTTAAGATATACATATTGATATAATTTTTGACAAAGTAGGAGCCATAAAATCCAAACAGATTTGCAAATATTTCACTTTGAGATTAAAAGGACACATTTGGGAGGGGGTCAAATTGAGAATATTTCAAGATATAAATACTGTTTTTATTGTAACCATATCAGTTAGAGATTGGAAATTTCTGGCTCTTACTAACCATAACATGCTCTACCCAATATAAAACAATGAATATCTGACATGCATTAGTATTCTTTTTATTGGGTGGTATTAAAGTACCCCCATGGTTTTTTGGGGGTAGGGGTATAAATTGGTCTGAGGGCCGTCTGCCACCCCTATAGAAAGTCCAACTACCCAGAAAGTGTCTAGTATCATCATACAGATGGTTTGAAATAGGTTGGAATGTGTAACCTTTCATGTAAGGAAGGAGTTACAATTATCAGAGTGGGCCGTAGTCTAATATGAAACTTTCATTGAAATACTGAAATTGTTAGATTTTTAAATCTAATATACATGTTCAATTTCAAATCTAAATTAATTTATCACTTAGCTAAAACATTCACTAACTTTTAAATGTTGATAAATACCATCCTCCTCCTCAATCCAGAATACACCTGCTTTGGAGGATGATAATTACTTTATTACTTGTTATCTTTATTGACAGTTACACTGGATGGTATCCACAAAAAATGAAGTACAAAAGCACAAGAGGGGGGAGTTCTAGGTTGTCATTTGAGGATGCCTTATTATCAGGATTTCAACCGGATGGAGGAATATTGCTGCCAGAAAGTATACCAAAGGTATTTTTATCGCACATTTTCAAAGTGCTTTATTGTTATATTATCTCGTGCTGATGGGTGTGTGGGTGGGCAGTGGGATGCCACATAAATGTTATCATCAAAATTCTGGGAAAATCACTTATCACTTGTTTTCATTAGGTATATTTAGAGCAATATGATTTGTTCCAGTGTTGTAACCTAAAACATTGCTTTAACAACAAAAATAGCTCTTTCAGGATTAGATGGAAGGATTTACTCATTTTTTAAATACTTTTGTAAAAGAAATAAACATTGTTATTTTGACGTGTTCTCCAAGAGTTTGAATATTTACATTTATTCTATGCCAAGTAGAGTTTTAGGGAGATTGTGAGATATGCACATCTACCTTCGGTCCCTACGGTCCCTCAGGTAGATATGCATATCTCCCTCTGGATAAACCCCATATCCAAAACCTCCCAGTACATAACCCTTATGTACTTGAACAGGTATCTAAGGAAACCCTTCTGTCGTGGTCTAAGCTAAATTTTGTTGAACTGGCTAAAGAAATTCTGCCACTCTACATTGATGAGTCTGATGTCCCCCGAGAAGATTTAAATGGTAAGAATAATTGTTTGTTTGTTTGTTTGTTTATTTGCTGGTTGATGTTAAATGCTGACCTTCCTCTAAAACACAATATTTGGACATATTATTTTTATATTTTATACAACTGACAAGATTATTAATGCCTTGATATTAAGTTGACGTGGTTATAAATTGTTTTTTCTGCATAATATCGAAGCACAACTGTTTAGTTAAAAAAAGTTACTCCAGGATTCGAAACCACAGTCTAGTACTTGCCAGGCAAAGATTCTGACACTGGACTACCGAGTCATGTCTTATTTCTGTAGGTAATTTAACGCATATTATTATCCCACCAAATGAAGTTTGTAAGGATATACTGTAGAGAAGCAGTCTATCAATTCATCCGTCCATCCATACGTGATTCTGTTCGTCCATCTGTCTGTTTATTAATCCTGATGATAACTCAAATACCGGATGACTGATTTGATTAAATTTTATAAGCTAATGCCTTAGGGTTGTAGGACCTCTGCTCGAGAAGGAATTTTCAATATGGGCACTCAATTCAAAAGGAGCGGCATTTTTCATTAAAATTGTAATGTTTGATAATTCAAATATTACTTGACGGATTTAGTTTAATTTTTTATGCTGATGCCTAGGAACAAAAGAGGTTAGCCAAAGAAGAGATTTTCATTCAATATGGCCTCTGAATTTCAAAATGGCTGCCAATTTTCATAAAAAAATCTTAATGATAACACAGGAACTCTGGTTCAGAAAGAATTTTCAAGATGGCAGGGGAAATTTCAAAATTGTCACCATTTTTTGTAAAAACATAATCTTTGATAACTCAAATACCAGACGGATATAATAATAATAGACGGTAGACGAATTTGTTTCAAATTTTATTTGATGATGCTTAGGGATCAACAAAGGAGGTCTGCTTGAGAAGAAATTTTCAAGGTGACTGTTGAATTTCAAATTGTGGACAGATTTGGTCCAAATTTTATATGCTGATACCTAGGGATAATGGAGCTCTGTTCAAAAGAAATTCGCATCATGATTGCTGCTATTTATCATGATGTCACATGTGACAGGTATTGATGATATGATAGATCTAACCTCAAAAGGACCCTCAACTCTTATTTTCCATGTATTTCCATGTAATTATAGGTATTTTAGAGCGTGGATTCTCCAGATTTAAGCATCCGGATATTGCACCTATTGCCAAACTAAATGATGGCCTCAACATAATGGAGCTATTTCATGGAGTAACCCTCGCCTTCAAGGACTTGGCACTTTCATGCGTTGGACAGTTTTATGAATATTTTCTGGAAAGGAAACAAAAACATGTAACTGTAGTTGTAGGTAAGTACATTTTACAACTGTTAAACTTTCCATGGGGTTTCAACAGAGGGTGCACCCCAGTTGTCCGAAACCCAGTTGTCCGAAACCCAGTTGTCCGAAACCCAGTTGTCCGAAACCCATTTTTCCGAAACCCAGTTCTCCGAAACCCAGTTGTCCGAAAAATTTAGTCATAATTTACCAGATAAAGGGGGACGCACCTCAAGCCAGTTTCATGTCATGTATTTGGCAAAATTAATGGCATGGACGCATTCTGATGTATAGATCTCTCTCTCACTTTGAATTGCATCCATTACACGGCGTTACCAGAATGACAGGAACGGGGGATTTATTTTACATTGTGATTCTAAAAAGGTCATCAAAACACAATATATATTACGGAACAGTTGATCTTATCTTATTCAATACATTTTATATAGGCAAAATAAAATGAAACATTTTGAAACCGATAAAATAAGTTAACGCATAAAACTTTAAGAATAAACAGTACACATATAACGTTGTCAAAATGTTTCGTCGCATTTAATTTCTTAGTCTCTGTCTCTTATCAAATCGTAAAATGTAAAAGAACAAAACATTCTAAACGTCATCACTTGGGATTAACTGGAAACGAAGACAGGCTGTCCTCGTATCAAATTGGATGTTCTCCCATTCGCAAGAAGTTTCATTTTCGCCATGTACTCACTTCATCTTTTTGAATTTAATCTCTATTTCTCGAACAGAGTACCTAAATGAAGAATAATTTTTGGTTTCAAAAGATGTACACGACGTCAACTAAATAAATGCCCACTGGCTTGGGAAAACTATTTCCCTTTTATGAACGCCCATCACGCATTGGAAAAATGTTGTTCCCTCTCAAAAAGCCCCATGGGGCATAAAGAAAATTGGTTTAAAAATTGTAGACCCCTATGTATGTTAATATGTAAACGCCACTTTGCAATGAGAATAGCATAATTTAACTTTGTTTATTTGAAGATCTGTATCACCTGTATTTTCATCTTTCGACAGTTTTTATTAGGCTAAATACTAGCCCATGGAGGAATCGTTCAGTTGATATTTACTCTCAAATACACCCTTTACCAATGAAAGAGTGCTCGTTCATAGAGCTAGATGGATTGGAGTGAAATATGTCAAGTGGAACATTTCAGAGTGCCAAGACCAACTCATTAATGTTAAATGGACCTCTATAAGTGGGATACCTCCCATCCCACTTCATCCATTAACGATTAAGGCATTAACATTTACATTGTTACAGCCTGCCATTTGTTACAAACACCGGGTACTGACCCCTTAAATATAGGGTCTGAAGCTCTAATCTAGGGTCAAACGGATGGCAGAATATATAACTGTTAAGCAATCTTTGCCATTTCAATATATAGTTAAAATATTTAGTGAGGCAAGCAGATGTACGTATATATGTTAATACAAATGTAAGTTTAAGGTTTTATGACTGTAAATTGAAGCATTATAGATTTTTGGATAAACATGCAAGTCCTAGAGACATATATTCAATCTTGCTGGAACTAATAGCAACTAAACATATTTGGAATCATTTTGAATTAATCTTTGTGAAATTCAAAATAGTCAAATGCTGTTTCAACATACTTGGATTCTTTTAAAGCAATCCAAAAATAAAAAGTGGCCAATTTGAAATACAAACTTTTACATTACATTCTACCATGCAAACAATTACTTCCAGGGGCGGATCTGGGAACAAACAAGGGGGGCAAATTCAGGTCAGAGAAAAAACTTCCCTAAAACCCAAAAGTTGGCCAAAATTTTGAAATTTTGAGGACCGTTTTCTTAAAAATTTGGCCTGAAATTGAAAAATAAGGCCTTAAAAGGCCCAGTATTGACCAAAAGGGCCTTTTTAGGCTTTTTTCTGGGTTCGCCAGTGACTCCTAAGATCATGATGGAAACTAATTGTTAATGACAAGTGTGATATTTTCAGACAAGTGTGATATTTTCAGACAAGTAGAATCAGGCCCATAGCCAGGATTTTCCAAGGGGGGGGGTTCAGTTTTCAAAAATTCGCAGGGGGGTTCACATTTGACAATTTAGGCCCAAACATGGTCAAAATCACTTGAAAAGTGCTAAAAATGGTGAGAAACTGCATGATTTTGAAAGAATTTTTGGCCAGGGGGGGGGGGTTCGCCCGAACCCTGCCAACCCCCCCCCCCCTGGCTACGGGCCTGAGAATACTATAAACATTTGTTCTTTCAATATCATAGAGTAGGCCTACTAATGTAATAGACCCACTTGAAAATTATATTTAAGATGATTTTAAAATTGAATTAAGCTTGAAAAAGTATAAAACTCTTGTCTTTGGCTATAAGGTACAAGACACTAAGTATACTTATTTTGATGAATGGTTAAACAACTCATGTTACATTATTGTAAACTATTATAGTAATGTTTTAAATAATTGCAATTGTATCTATTTAAAAAAAATATTGCAATATTGTAAAATGACCTGATGTATACAAAGTTATAAAATAAGAAATATATACATGATTTAAAAAGAAAAAAGGAGTGCTGTCTCTGACTTTCTGCAATCACGCGGTCTTCGACCGTTAATTGGAATTTTTGACCTACCAGATGCTTGAAAATCAGGGATTTTTTTGCGAGTCTCATACTGCACCGTTTTTCTTCCATTATACCATTAAAAGCAAAACAAAATTGCACTTAAAACTGTCAGTGCATTACTTTATTGTAAAGAGTCCCTCGTTCTAGCAGCGTTTTGGTCCCCACTCCCCAGCTGTTAGAAGGCCTTCTTACAGCTGGGGACCAAAATTACGCTGGAAGTAGGAACTCTGTTTAAGATAATAACGTACCATCAGAAAGAGATTTTTGTCATGCTTTGAATGGAACAAGTTTGAAGAAAAACGGTGCAGTATGAGACTCGTAATTGATTTTCAAATATCCGGTAGGTCAAAAATTCAAATTAACGGTCGAAGTTAGGACCGCGTGACCGCGTATCGAGTGACAACATACTAACGACGAACAGGACATGGGGCAAAGGTTGAACTGTCTCAGAATGTATAAGGAACGAGGTAGAAATAAAGAATTCATATGAACGAGTCATGCAAGATACTAAAGAGATACAAATGCATTATGATACTCAGTTTTTGGGCAATTAAAACTCCCTGTCTGCATTGAGTATAGTTATTTATTGTCCGGTGTATAACTTTTGAAACATTATCCTAATTTTTCACAAAACTTTTTTTGATTCTGCAATAGTTAATGGTTGACATCTATGGCACACTTAAAACGATTTTTTTTATGCAGGGTACGTACATGATACAGATCAAATCTTGGCTCTACTACAAACTATTACACACTTACTTCAACAGTTCAATATATCGCAAAACACAGTTTTGATTTTGAACAATATCACCAATGGGAGAAATTCTTAAATCTAAATGTTTGGAAAGGAATACGTTTCTACTAAAACATACAAACCTCTTATATTATGATGAAAAAAGGATAGACATCTGATATGTATATATGCCACATATATAAGTTATACGAAATGAGCATATTTTATTAATTTATCGAAAATTTGGACGAAATCAATGGGTGGTACTGAACAACCAAAATCTTCTTTTTAGATATTTTTCAGGGTAGAAATATTATCAATTGATATTGGAAAACATAATTAACCATATTTTATTGAGAAAAGGGAATGAAAAAAATTATCAAATGAATATATATAATTGTCACGGACGTCCATACGTTATTCTAATGAGATAGATATTCCTTTCGCCAGAATATTCTCTTCGACTGTGATAATTGTCTAAAATGTTGGCGGCAGTCTTGAATTTTCACCAAGAAGCCGTGCGATTCGTGCTGGACAATGCGGTTCAAAATTTGTAGAATGTCCATATAAGTCTATGTGCCGAGAATCTAGTAAGAATATATATATGATCGTGAACTTTCGGACCCATTATTGACCGGGCTAACCGATGTCAACGTGATACCAATGCTGTCCTGATTCGCGAAGTTGCGACAAGATTCGTTACTAAGACATTTAATTTTTTAATTTTCGGAGAACTGGGTTTCGGAGAACTGGGTTTCGGAGAACTGGGTTTCGGAGAACTGGGTTTCGGACAACTGGGTTTCGGACAACTGGGTTTCGGAGAACTGGGTTTCGGACAACTGGGTTTCGGACAACTGGGTTTCGGACAACTGGGTTTCGGACAACTGGGTTGACCCCTTCAACAGAAAAAAGTCCATGACCTTTCCAGAGGTCAATTGTTGAATCGTTGTTACTGTACCTGATTGGTAACTATTGCTTAACTAATATATCCAAGAATCAAAGTACAATCTATAAAACATACTTATTTGAAAAAATTTTAGTGAAAACCACATCAACTCATTTACAAAATTGATCATATAATAATTTTTGAGCTTAATCTTCCTTATAGCTTTTGCCTTGAATGAAGAATTTTTTACCTCCAATAGAGCCCCTCCATCATTGTATGCAGTCATGATTTATCTTTCAACCATTTATTGAACTTCCACGTACATGTTCGCAGGTACATCCGGGGACACTGGGAGTGCCTCAATAGAAGCTGTGAGAGGATTCAAGTGGGTTGATATCATAGTTTTACTCCCTAGAGGGCGCACCTCTAGAGTCCAGGAGTTGCAGATGACAACTGTATTGGAGGACAACGTACATGTATTTAGAGGTAGGACCACTTGTTTGTATTGTTCACTTATGATTTTTGTCAAGGAGCAATATTTTTACTATTTAAGTGTATTTTTCGCTGCCTGATTCCAGTTGACGGGACATCCGATGACCTTGACTACCCAATTAAAAGATGCTTTACCGATGCGAAGTTTGCAACGGAGAACAGTCTCTGCAGCATCAACTCAATCAACTGGGCTAGGATTGTCATTCAGATTGTTCACATCTTTTACGCCTACTTTAGGGTAGGCAGAATTATGTATTTATAAATTCCTTGGTAGCTCTGGATGATAAGAATTTTTATGTAATTTTCATTGCGTGATTATAATTACCAAAAATTTATAAAAGGTAAATACTTTTCATACAAAAGATTTCAATTAGATAAGGGGAAATGATATTACTCCTTTTAATATTTTCCCTAAAAATATCACAATATCGTTTCATTATTCATTGGTAATTGTTATGAGAGTCCTCATTGTTTGAAACAATTGATTTTAATTTATTTCATATAAATCTACCTCAGTTTATAATTTTTGAAACAATTATTGTTCACTTCAACTCTCAAGTATTACTTTACCATTTACATTTAAAACAATAAATATATTTTAAAATATGGAAGTCATAATAAATACGGTATATTTATTCTTTCAATTATCCTTCAGGTTTGTACATCAATTGGGGAATCTGTTGAGATTGTCATTCCTACAGGAGCGTGTGGAAATGTAACAGGTTAGATTGAAAGTTACACATACTCTCAAATCATGGCTTTTCAAGAAGAGAATATACAGGTTAAGGTTAGCGCAAATAGCCCACTTATGTATACCTATACGTAGTTTGTTATTGCCCTCAGCAATACAAACATACATATCGGTAAACATATATTTTTACGCAAATCTTAACCTCCCTAATATTTAATGTTGCACTTTTACCAGTTTATCCTTTCTGCTGAATGAGGAATGTGCAGAAACTTGAATATTTATGAATTTCTTTGGAATGTCTACAATTTTTAATAGTTTCATGAAAATGACTTTCATTTGTTTGTAGGGGGTTGTGTGGCTGTAAAGATGGGCCTGCCAGTACAGTTTGTTTGTGCCGTAAATGATAATGACATTGTCGCAAGAACCATATCATCTGGCGAGTTTTCTAAATCGGAGGTTGTTGTGCCCACAATCTCCCCAGCAATGGACATACAGGTATTTACAGGTATTGCTATAAGAACCTGCAACAAAGTTGACAAATAAAACTGAAATGAATTACCTTTGACATCTGGGGTGGGTATGTTTTGCTTGGATACAGTTTTGCAGATCAATGACAAACACACAATTACGAGAGAGTCTAATTTTTTAAACATTTGTTTCTTTCTCAAATTGGCTCAAAGAAAGAACAAAATAATTTACTTAGAATAATCTAGAATCACGACGGCAGATTTCGCAGCCCCAGCTGGCCATTTCAATTTATGCTTTTGACGCACGGAGTAATTGATAGATAGCGCTGTTTTTATAAAATCGATAATCACGTGATAATAAATTGTACCAATTCGAGGAAAACTACGTCACAAATACGTAGGCGAAATGTACATGCAAATCTTTAAATCTGTACTGTACAGCCGAAAATACATTTTAATCCAGTCCAGCTGTTTGTTAGAGCATGAACTAGGCCTATACTGCAGTACTGTAAGTGTTAATTCATTTGTACTGATGAGGAAATCAAACTGGGCCATATGGGACAAAATCCCGGGATTAAATAATAAGTACGCCATCTTGTTTTTTAGCCCTCGCGTGATAGGGATATTTAGACTCTTGATCTCCCATAAAATTGTTAAGTGAGATAAATTAACAAAGTTGATTTTTTGATGAATCAAAGATCAAAAACAATTTCTGTGATTTTAATTTTTTAAATAAAACCATAAATTTCTCAAAAGAACATCATAAAAGCGACGTAATACCCGCGTAATTATACCTTATCTTTCACAGAATGTAACTTGAGAACGAAATGACGCCCGGATAAACGGTAAAAAGCACAACAAACCTTGAAAAAAGTTGAATTCTGTACAGAAATCTTGCAAACGGAAGTCATTCTATGACAGAGTAATCACCGTCCCTACGGGGGCTAAATACTTGAAAATATGTTACAGCGACATCTATCAAATAGTATGAAAACCTTTTCATGTGGCCAGATCAGAGCACCAAATCGGACATCGTGAATAGTTTAGGCTAATTCATGATCCTAAATTTCATTTCAAGTTTTAATGTCCTTGTAGGTGCCCTACAACATGGAGCGTATCTGGGTTTTGTTCAATGATATGGACATCACTCCAGTGAAACAACTCATGGAGGAATTTGAGGAAAAGGGCTCAGTAAATGTGCCACAGCAACTGAAAAATAAGGTACAGCGAAACATTCATATCTGAACACATCTCTTATCTGTGAATGCTCTTTAGGTCCCATTCTTATTATTTGTGCCATGAATGATCCTGTAAAAAATCTTGAAATGTGAGAACCTGCCAATCAGAACACTTTTGGCATAGAGGACCTAGAAAACTCAAAGACCTAAAATGATCAGAGAATTTCAAAAAAAAATTTCATTCAAAATTTTGATTTTCTGGAACATATCATTATGATGCTCATAGCATCTTTCTATTTAACCAGAAACATCTCGGGGCTGAGAAGAAATAAGATGTCATGATTTATCATGATGGGAATATATGGCCATGCACTCAACATGATCAGGGAAAAAAGATGTTGGTCAGAGAAATGCCAAGAAATTTCACATATAGCGTCCTTAAACATGCTTGACATCCAATAGATATGTGTCTTAACTATTATATTTGCCTTGTATATGTCATTATAGATCTCCAGTGTGATCTCTGGGTACAAGTGCACTAATGACTTGGTGAAGGCAACCATGAAGCGATGCCATGATGAGAATGACTATCTAGTTTGTCCCCATACGGCTGTGGCTGTGTCATACCACTACCACCAGAGAGATAGGTCTGTTTTTATTGCTGTCAGGACTACTGTCTTTCACAGACAAGGTTCACAATAAAGGTTGAAAACATGATTGCCACAATTATATACCATATTTGAATTCAGTTCATTGCCCAACAGACTACCAGCTTATCCAAGTTCATTGTTAAGATTGAAATGACTGCCTGCTGTGAACTTGAAAGCTTTCATAATGTATTATTTTATTTGCTGGAATTACACCACAAAATCCGCTAAAACGTTTTAGTGGAAGGCGCTTTACAAAATCGTCATTCTGATTACACCAACATTTCTAAAGCGTCTTAGGAATTATATTTTGGAATTACACCTGTTTTTTCTAAAACGCCTTTCCTGCAGTTTTAACGATGTAGTTATGGATAATATCCAGCATACATGTATATGTACATCTCCTGTAAATGTATTCTTTTTGCAAGACAAAACTGATCTTCCATAATTTGATTAAAAATGCATGACATTGCATAATTTTTATTTATCTTTTATTAATTATGAGAAAACATAATAAAAGGGTAAAAGAAAAATATGTACATATTCTCTGAAGATAACACTTGATTTCGATGTGACCTGGCAACCATCATCCATTTTTCAATTGAGATATGAGGTCTTATTTCGTTTAGGGCAAATGTTAAAAACTAGTAAAAACCCGGGTAAGGCGTCTTACAAAAACCGATCGGTATTACACTGCACACTTAAAGCGCCTAACGACTTATGCCGTTTACTAGTGACAACGGTTCTTGGAGTTTTAGAAAAGCACTTTTGTAAAACCGCAATCGTGATTACACCTAATTCTTAGACCTGGTTAAAACCAAAGAAGCTTTTGTAAAATGCCATGTGTAATTCCAGCAATTGTATGTGTACCATGGCTTCACGTTTAGTGGCAAATGTCACTCAAAGTAGCACCACCCAGAAAAAGCTAGTTACAGGCCAATACATATTTTAATTTTGAGTATGTTTTAATTTACTATTTTAGTCAAGATGAAAAGTCCACCATTCCTCAAGTTGTCATAGCAACAGCATCACCAGCAAAGTTTGAAGAGGCTGTTCTGGCAGCTGGGCTTACTCCCCAACCAACTGAAGGTATTCTGGCATTGGACTCCCTCCCCACAAGATATGTCGATATGGAGGCAAACATGGACTGGGATTTGATGCTGAGAAATAAGATTAAGGAAATTACAAAACGGTGCAGCTAGTGCTAGGCACAAATTACATGAATGTTCATTACCAGGTAGTCTAGCTACAAGCCCTTTTCCGACACAGTTGTTAGAGTAGACAGTCCAGGGTATGAAGCAAGACTAATTACCAGGGATAATGATATATACATGTACATATATGTCAATATCAGTATTTAATAAACTTAATGTTTAGTCAATAACTTTTTAATGCTTGGTATTTAATTTCCACATGTATCGATGTACAAAATTAAAATGTAAATAAACAATGAAATGTAAGATGTGCCATATAATTTGTGATTAATCCGGTGCCAAATATATATTATATATATATTTATTTAGACCATGTCATACTTTTAAAATACCATAAATGTACATTATATATATATACATAGATGACATTTATTATCAGTATTTAATAGAGTGTCATAATTTATTTAGTCAATGATTTTTAAATGTTGAGTACTTAATTTTCATATGTATTGATGTACAAAATTAAAATGTGCAATAAAATGGGCAATTAACCCAGTCAAATAAAGAATTATTTTACAAAATAGTCAGTTCACTCTTTGTTTTCAATATGTAAATGTATAATCAGAGAAGGTGGTGCTGATAAGGATATCTCAAATATACGTCTCCCAAATGTAGTCCTCTTCATTCTAAAGTAAGATTAGGAATAAAGTCATTAGGAGTGGGCAGTATGGTCATCTCAAACTATGAATATTTTTGAATCACAATACTTGTTATTTCACTTTTGGAGGAAGATTGGTTTTAGCGTGCATTATTTAAGTCCATTTTGTATCGAAGCATAAATTATGATACCCAATTGAAATGATTTGGAAATCTTAATCATGGATGACCTTGAGAAAAAGATGAGAAGTCCACAATTGGTTTGATACAAAAACTGGAAAATCTCATTTGAGGTGGTCTGTGACAGTAGTCCAACAAGACTAGTCCTGCACTGAAGATAACAAACTATGCTTTTTTTATTTCTTATATTGCAGCATTTTTGTTCTTTTATTCATGTTTCTTCAGTTTCTATATACAGAATACATGTAAAGTGTTATGTATTGAGTTATTTATGCAAACCTTACGGCATCTTCCTGCACATTTATGGTGCATTCAAAATGCTAACCAATCACATTGCATGAATTTATCTTTTAAGATAGTATTGAACTTATTTGATTGGTCCCAATACGTGGCTATACCTCAGCATTATACTATTCATCAAAATAGTGCAATACTGCGCCAATCGAATAATAATCCAATAGTAAATAAAATTCATGGAACACGAAAAACTAATAAGGGACTATGTCAAATGTTAAAGTTGATTTTCACACATGCAATGTTTGATGCTCACGAAAGAACCCCCATACTTATTTTTCATTTTAAAACCTAAAAGAGCCTAATTATCAATTCTAGCAAGGTCCAACCATGTAAATTTTATATGAACTGAAGTAGAATTACTTACTGCAGAATTTATAGTGTAACACCTCAAGAATTCCTACAGATTTTCGCCTTCAATCTCGCATCCAATGTTTTCAAAATTAACATTACATAAACTAGTGAATTAACTGTGCGTTTAACAGCCACATAAAATAGCTTTTGGTCATTTAAAATGCTGAATAAGAACACATTTATGGTAATCATAGCAATTGACCAATTCCATATCTCTTTGTTACAATTTGTTTAAAATTTTACTAATTTCACCATTCCTGATACTTCACACTTATAACCTGATCAATTACAGGTTGGGCTGATAAAAATGTTGTTTCTTTTATACACTGAAGGATTTAAATATTAGTTGTTTCACCCTGTATATCATGTATATTGTGACTGCAGTTTCAACAAATAAGATGTCCTAAGTTCTAAGACTGACCATTTAATGTTAAAACATCTGTGTGAAATAAGCAAACATCGACTTACACAACACAATCTGTATCTGATAACACCTTTACATCTACTTCACTCTTGTACAGAAACAAACTATACTTATATTATTTATTCATGAATGATATTGTACTGTAATTCTTTTGAGGTATAGACAAAGATTTTTTGAAATTGATAGTTCAAATCAACAACAAATACTTAAAACCAAATATGTCTTTGTCTACCTTTTCTTAATTTTAGTCTAGATAGGAACTTTGCGTGCTAATTCAAATATATCCTTGAAAATATGGATGAATACTAGTAATTTTATTCTGGAAAAAATAATAATATTTCAAAGCCCAAGTCTACATGCAAGTGAACTAGCTAACTAGTTCAAAAATTCTTGCTAACTAGTTCAATAAATAATCTAAATGCATTTCACTTCTAAAATTTCATTTCATTTGAATCAAGTAAATCAAGCAATCAAACTATACAGCTTTACAGTCTCTAGAATACTAGGAGATTTTATTCATTTGGTTTTTCATACAAAAGATTCACATTTTTATTTGATTGAAAAATCTCAAAATAATGTTGTTCCTTTGACAAAGGTTATTAATATTTTCAAACTTGCATTGCTGATTGCTAATGGTCTATTTACAATTTATAATGGACATTAGAGACATTACATATAATTTAAGAAGATTGAAATATATCCTAAGAGGCATCATATTTTTGCAGTAACTTTCACAAGTAGATTACAACCTAACACTGCAGTGTACCTCAATTGACCATTTGCTATATAGATGAATAAATAGATGTCAGCATTTATAATTGGAAAAGCTGACAAAAGTCATTTCATTTCTTGATTTATTGAATACTGTATTTCCCAAAAGATTGAAAGAAAACTCAATTGGCATCTAACTAGGTGATGTTGGTGACACCTGGATTGTAATTTAAACCTAATAAAAACTATGATCCTTAAAACATATAAAAGAATTCATCAATTTTTGAAGATTTTTTAACATTGTGTCAATGGGGATTTAGGCTGACCTTTTTCAGAAGTTAAAATTCTTGGAAATTGGATAAAATAACTATGTAGATGAAAGGAAATTATGCACAGAATTCAAATATGTCATGAAATTGAAGAAAATTTAAAGGGTAAGTCCTTAGTGGTTCGATATACACATCTCTTAAAATCTCGTTAAAAATGAGTGTTTAGAGAGATTTCAAAGCTATGTAGCAAATGGTTAATTGAATAGATCAACTTTTAATACAATTCAATAATTCCATACTGAACTTCACTTATTTTAAAAAACCTCTTCACAAGGAAACAATGTTTCCAACATTCTGCAGCCTCTTGGAGGCTTCTACTGTTCCACATGCAATCAGTTCATGAAGATCATTGGGAGAACAAGTTTCAGAAGTGGCAGCTTGGTGAGCTTTTCTAAAATGTTCATTACTTGTTCCCATGTTACGCTTGATTGCTCCCATGTTACAAAATGCTCCCTTGTTACATGTCTCTCAGTTGCTCCCATGGACTTCTTTGGCTCCAATGTTACACAATGCAACCACATAAAGTGTCAGTCAACTGCTCCCTTATACACATTAAACTTGCCCCAATGTTTTGCAGTACCAAATAATACTAGCAAGTACAATCAATGTTACTATCCGAGATAGCACAGCTGCGACTGACTTGTGCAACACAGATAACATCTGTAGTGATATTACATATTCCTTATATGGACATATCTCAGGTAGCCGAGTCGGTGCTTACTGCAATTGTTCCTTATGATCCATGTAAAATTTGTGCGACTTCAGTGATATTACACATTCCTTATATAAACAGACCCAAAGTATCTCCTTATATGGACAGACCTCGAGTATCTTTTTATTTGGACAGACCTCAAGAATATCCTAATGTGGACAGACCTCGATTATCTCCTTTTATGGACAGACCTCAAGTGTCTCTTTATTTGGACAGACCTCAAGAATATCCTTATATGGACAGACCTGGATTATCTCCTTATTTGTACAGAAGTCAAGAATCTCCTTATGTGGACAGATCTCAAATATCTGCTTATATGACAGACTTTAAGTATCTGCTTGTATGGACAGACCATCAACTTATATGGACAGACCTTAGGTATCTCCTTATATGGACAGACCCCAAGTATCTCCTTATATGGACAGACCTCAGGTATCTGAGTCTCTGTCTTTACTGCAACTATTACAAATGCTTTCTTTATTTGTCGCTAAAATCAGTGAGAATTTCCGTTTGTCTATGGACATATGGATGGACTCTATACACCTGAATAGTATGTCTCCGTTAATGTCTTCTGGGAGTTTGGTGAGATACTGAGCAAGGTGGATGAACTCCATGGTCATCAATGTCTCTTCATACATTTTCAAGATACCTAATGCTGTTCTGAACAGGAATTCTTCTCCGTCACGGCAGAACACGTCCCAAACCCTACTAGCGACATCTAGTGGTAATGATTTACTATAAAGTGTGAATATCCTGGAAAGCAGAGAAAATATTGTAAGGACGAGGTACATCTTTGTTCTTTTGGTGAACATTTTTTGAAAGAAAGTGAAGAAAAGAGTATTTAATCATAGATAATGGAGTATTGTTGTACAATTATTTCAAATCTCTCAGAATCAAAGATACTATTACAATATGTCCTTTCATGTCCAGGATTATTTTGGGCTCATATGTGTAGACACTCTGATAATATATTCTATGACACATGGAACTTACCAGTCAATTATGTACAAATCGGGTGTTAAATTGTGAACCTGGAAATGTTGGTGTAACTTTGGTAGGTTTTCCTTCACAAGCTCATCATAAGTCTGGAAATACGACTTGATCTGAAATACAAAGAAAGCAAATAATGAACAAACTGGGCCATAATTATCAGAATTCAGTGTAAAAGACTTCAATGCCAAACATAAGCCCTAAAAACTGGAGGCAGTATATAAAGACTACACCAAATGATGTGAAATATACCACATTGACATTTGGCTTGTTACCTAAACATATTCTTACTAGGAAGAATATAAGGAGAGGTTTCAATAGCAGCAGGTAGCAGATCATTTTTCATTGCCTGTAGTTTTGAGGAATGCTTACAACTGCTTTAATGTTAAAAGTATAACATTCCAAAATTTTGCATGTTAGTTTTTTGTTTTCTATGTTGTCAGAAATTTTAACTGGTACTTCAAGCATACTCCAGACAGACGTAGAAACTGATTGATTGAGGGCTTCACTTTATCCCTAACTCCTGTTGGGATAATGAACTCCCTACATATAAATGAAATTGACTTACCAATAGCTCATCCATTCTGAAGAAGGCCACTTGGCATGGTTTATTGAGAAGGTTAGCAAACACCAGAAATGCATCAATGACTTCCATGTTAAGCAACAAGATGGCCGCTATGAAGGACATGCCCTGGACATACCCTACGTCAGGACGGTAACATGTGTAAGCGCTCAGTAGGTCATGCAGCAGTTCATGATATGGACCACCCTGTAGGGAATATCAAAAATCAATCTCTACCACAATACATCATTCACTTAAAGTACAATATGGCATGGCTTTTACATTTAAAATATCTTAAATTGCATGAAAACAGTTTCTGTCAAAGTTTATTAAAGGGTCCAATCTTTTGATTTTTTCAGTTAAATTTTGAATTTTAGAATCATGAGTAAGGTCCCTTTAAATAATAAAGCCTCCTAAAATAATACAGCTTCTTTATATAATACAGCCTCTTTAAATAATACTGCTTCTTTATATTATACAGCCTCTTTAAATGATAAAATGAATATGAATGAATAAAATGAAATGATACCTTTGCTGTAAATCATATATAATATTATTACTCACCTTTTGAAATATACAAAGCTGAGGGAATGTTCTAGAAACATCTAGTTTGATCAACTCTACACTGGACTCTTTACTTGATGCTGGTTCTGAAACGATAAGTAAGCGAAATTAATGTCTGATGCTGTGGAAAGTGGCAAAACATGGGATTAGGCAAGAGAATATGGCAGTTCTGTCCCTTTTAGAGAAAAAGGGGTGAATGAGAAGGAGTTTTTGTGACCTCAAAAGTAGAAATGTTTTACTAAAATATTATATAGTCATATTTTCTTATCTTTCACAGATGAAAAATCTTGCGCAGATTCAAGAGAAGCCATGATGTTATCTTATCATAAAAAAGATTTACTTACCTTGTGATAGTGACTGAAATGAGTGTGAACTATCAATGCTAATGGTATCCATCATCCTAATACGATCTTTTGCTCGATTAAGGCAGATTTCATACAGTTCTGAAAGTATATGAATAATAAACTGAACTGGCTGCAACTTATTGGTCAAACGAGGAGGCGGGCAAAGAAACCAGTGATTTTTGGTGAGAGGTTGTCTACTGTATTACTGTGTTGCATGACTGGTGAATATTAAGAACAACTATCATCTCATCATCTATCTAATGTAAAATAAAAGAGCAATGCATTAACATGACAACCTGGTGTTTTTACAAATACATGTAGTTACAATGTGTAACGATTGTTACAGATGCCAAATCCAACAATCGCATAAAATGAGGGCCATGAAAATAGGTGACCTGTTGCGACAAGTGCTCTGTAATTTAAATAATGTACCCTAATATAATGTTTACAGATTGAGAAACATATCATTTAACTATGATCTGCAAGGCCCTACTTGAAAATTCCACATTACAAAACCACAAGGTTACTTCACTTCATTTAACCCAGACATTTTATCAGTATTCATTTACACATAAAAACAATAATAAATAGTGTGTGTTCTCTACCTTCTGTAAGGTTGAGATCATTTCCAATGGCAAGTTTCCAGACTTTTCCCCTCACGCATGGTGGTATTCCAGCAAACCACATCTCCCTGGCCTTCTTAGAGTCTTTCCTGGAATGTTCAAGGAAATATTTGCTTAGTTTTGACAACATTTCGTGTGAAAAAGTGAAAAACAAAAATGGACCAATCCAATAAACCATGCCACCTATTTGCTATATTTGATATCATTCTTAGTTTCAGGACTTAGTGGTAATTTTCAATTTCTTAGAATTTTGTTCACAAACATTGCTGCCTGCAAAGTATAGTCACATGGAGTCGAGGTAATAGGTGGAAACAATGAATTCTTACATGGTGTCCCAGTTGGGTAGAATATCATCATTCCATGTTGCTATGGCATTTTTCAACATTTCTTCCTGTCTCAATCGTAGCGCCATCTGCTTCTTACGTAACTTCATCTCCTTTAGCTCTGAAATAACAAACAATATTTCCGTTACATCATCATCTAATATTATAACTCCTAAAGTGAGTGATATAAAAATACAACCCTCTAATATTGCAATAACTATCAATTATGACAGAAATAAATGGTAAATTTCAGAATCTATTATATGAATAGAAAGTTTAAAGCATAATAGCATGTCATGGAATGGGTTGGATTGTATGTAAAAGTTACCAATATACATTCTTTTAACCACCTGATTGTGCAGATTGACATGCTGCAGTATTTTCTCAGATTCAGTACTAATTTATTCAAGTGACATGAGATGCATAATTAGGGCTATTGTTTAAAAAACTTTACATTCCAAATGGATTCATCATAAAGAAACAATGAGAGAAAATCAGTTGTGTTTGGCAATGTTCCCTGGGAATAATTTAACCTACAAAATCTAAAATGATTTATCTCATGACTAGTGGGGCTTCAAGCATGTCAGGTACATAACAGCGGGGTATAGAAATGTTATCTTGGGGAAACAGGACATATTATACTATATAATATCTCCCACTCTGTTTTTCCACTTCAATATTCCAGGGAACCAACTTTTTTTCATTGTATATAGAGCCAAATAATAAAAACCTCAATAGTATAGCATTGCTCTAGTTGTTATGTATGCATGTAGACATTCATTCAAATATTCAGTGCCAAAAATGTGATGGGACATAGTAAATGATCAGCCAAGTGATGATATAATACAATTTGACTTGACATGACTTTTAACAGTTCTATTATATTCATTTCAATATCATGCTGGTTGAACAATCCCTAGTCACTGGAATTCCAGAATTACATCAAGTTAACTATTAATTTAGATATGCTTTCTATTTATATGTTCATATTTGTAAAATTTTATGATTAATTTAAAAAAAGTGGGCAAACTTCCCATGTTTTATAAAATTACATGTTTAATGGTTCAAAGGGAGAACTGAGAAGGGTAAACATATTTGAAATAGGTATACTTCTTGATTAACATCTCAGAAATTAATCTTCAATGAAATGAAAATCAGTAATGATCTAGTTATTATGCATGTTAAATGTTACTTATAATAAATTACATCACCATGGTACATACATGTATATGTATTATAATAGTATTTACATAGAAGTATGGGTTGTTTTTAATTTTCTAATTTGTCTTCCCTGAATTTGCCAATGTTTGGATGCAATATATAACCGTCTCTTCCATAGCCCAGGGTCTGAACTTAACTTTTATTTACCAGTAGCAAGGATTTGCTACCTTCTACCAAAACAAGGAGCAAATTCCCATATTCAGGTAGCAACAGAAAATGCTCCAAGAAAACATAATCAGGTAGCAAATTCTATTCATGTGTTATAACGAATCCCCGGTTATTTCTCGACTTTTTGCACTGAACGAAACTACCATTTTTTACATTCAAGAGTCGTCTGAGAACAATTTGTGGTTTTTCAGACCAAAATCCACATGTTTTCATTGAAAATAGGAGAATGAATCATCTAATCCTAATAAAGGTAGTATAATCAATTGGGGGAGGAACAAATTATAGTGTATTCGTCGATGTTACATTTTATATTTACCTGTTAGACAGGCGACATTTTTCGGCAAGAAATTCTGTTTCGCTAAAGCGAGTAAAGTCCAATCAGTGATGTTGTCTTATTTTGTTTTATTTTGGGATCCCTATCAACCAATCAGCGTTGAGGTTGTATATCGCTATCGGAAACGCGATGAAAAAATGAAAAAATATCGGGAGTGGTAAGTTCCATTAATTCTAGGCGATAGAAGGGTTGAAATACATGAGATTCATTGGGTAAATTTGAGGTAGCAAACATTTGCTCCCAGCCTCGAAGTTTTTGGAGCAAAATGTGAAATCAGGTAGCAAATTTGCTCCTTGCTACCGCTAAGATCAAACCCTGTAGCCAATTAGAGTCATGTCCATGTTTCTACAGTTTTGCCCTTTGTACTTTCTGATATTTGTGTTCAATGCATTGAGTACATCCCATTGTACAGAGGAGTGAGGACTTTACTAAGAGAAATAATAATAATATGTTATTACCTTTCCTCCGTGCTGTCTCAATCATTGCTTCGTATTCCAGTCGGTGTCTGAGTTCTTCTTCTGGTGATTTACTAGGCAGGTTCCTGGAGTAAAAGAATGCAATGTGTTAAAAATAAAGATAATATTTCGCCAAATTTTGGTCTGTCTTCTGAAAATCCTTGGGTATTAGATGTGGGAGTAGCATTCATTCAGAGGTATAGGTATAGGTATATTTTGGTATGAAAAACTAGAATAATGCACCCATTTGAGAAAAAATCCTGGGTAAAATACTGCACTGTAATGGACTTTATACAACTTTTTCATTCTATTAGGCCACTTGACAAACTAAGATCAATAGTAATGTCCTTGTTACTTCGAATGATATTTCCCTTTTCTAATTCAGTAAATGAGTACTCTTTGATACTATAGGTATGCTATGAAACTGTTAAATATAGCTCTGACATATCCCAATAAGTAATATAAGACAATATGAAGCCATGTTTTATAGATCTTTGATGCTTTAGACATGATTCTTTAACTCTAGATGTTTAACTGCAAGTATATATTGATTTCTCTTGAAAATAAAACATTCTGTTCAGCAATTCAATGTAACTATTGGTGAAGTTCGTTGCCCTTTCCATTCAATGTTTTATGGTTAAGGTATATCTGATGGTTAAGGTATATCTGATGGTTAAGGTAGATCTGCATGATTAGAAGTTTTATGAAATTTTCACATTTTTCAGTTATTTTAACTTCTTGATGGTTTCAAAATGAAAATATTTTGATTTATTGTTGAAATCACACTTCCCACATTTTGGTAATAATTTTTTCGCCATCCTCCGAGATCACAGGCTTCAAAATCCAGAATATATTCTTTCTTTTTACCCCCTGCGATAAGCAATTAGCCTTTCCCCGATTAAGAACTCGCAATCTGATTGGCTGTCGCAACACTGCGACAGAAATCATGTATAAGTCATTGCGCATAATAAGATCATGTGATTCAGTTTAATCGGGCGCTTCCAAATTGGTTATAGCAGGGGGAAGAAGGAGGTACGGATTCTGGATACCTGCTTAGGAGGATGTTTTTTCGCATGATAAGAAGTTTTATGAAATTTTCACATTTTTTATTAAATATTCTTGATGGTTTCAAAATGAAAACATTTTGATTTATTGTTGATATCACACTTCCCACATTTTGGTAATCAACTTTTTCTGAAATTGTTGAATTACCTTAATATATGATCTGTTACAAGGCTCAGTCAATGCCTAGCTTGGCAAGAAGAACTGCAAACAGATACTGACTGGTATTAATGAACTGACACTCTACAAGTCATTAACCATTGTGTTCATTCTGTGATTATAGAAGAGATTCCATAAATCAAGCAAGAATTGTACCAAAGAAGAACAATATTTCAAGCCAAAGGAAAGGCCATCAATGTAGATTCAATAGCACCTACATCAAGCTTTAGATAGGAACCCAAAGCCATATTCAACCAATACATGTATACAGGCATATGGATTCTCATATAATTTTATATAACATGAACTCATCAAACAAGTATCACCACTCAACAGGAAATAAAATGAGACAGAATTCTATTAAATGTATTTTTATCTCCAGACTTCAATTTGATAACCAGATTAATAGAATATTTCTGTATATGAACTCTCTACAAAACATTAATTTCTAATAAATACAGGAAACCTCACAGATATTGCAACAATCTATATGGTACACAGGAAGTTCATTCAGCTGTATTGTCTCACAAATTCTTACAAAGTGATTTAAAAATTGTCAGAGTTATGTCATTTTCAAGATTCGGTATTTCTCATTCTTGTTCACTTATTCCACTTCTTTATGAGTAATTTAAAAACATGATAACATGCATTTGAGTCATGGACGACAATGTTAGTTTTATGCCATTATTACATTATGACGTTTTATTACATAGAATCAAGAGATCTCTTGAAAGCCCATGATAGAATATAACAATAAATGACATTCTATTATTCAATTACAAGCATGTTGAAACACTTTGACCTGACAAGTAGGGCATCATGACCAATTGCATTTGAAAGTCTTCAGCTGTATTGAGATCCTAAATGGAAGTTTGAGAATCTATATCAAGAATTTGAACAACTAGCAAACTTATTATACTGTTAATACATGACAATGTCCCTTTGACCAAGATAAGCTCCCGTTTTAAGGTCCTCACTAACATAGTACACACCAAATCCGTATCATCTTCTTGCAGCCCTGTGCAGTACTTTCTAATCAGCGCTGGACAGTACTGTTTTGAACAGTGGTGGACAGTACTGTACAGTACTGTTTCATAAACAACGCTGTACAGTACAGACTGAGATTGGCGGTGTGAGAGAATAGAAGTGTGACTAACTAACAGAGTATTTAGGGGACACTTACTGAGGTCTATTCTCGAGTATTAACGCAGTTGTGGATGGTGCTTCAACATCATTCTTGCGGAGACTTTCCGTGATTTCATAACGTCTTCGATACTCATCTGAAATCTCATTGGCATCTTTAACGTCATTTTGTTTTGGAGGGACTTTTCCAAATAGTTTCCAGCCTTGACCCTGTGTTCCTGTTTCCTTTTTCCGGGAGAACAGACTTCTGAAAAACACAAAAGAGAAATATATAGAGATTATCCTATATGAGGTTCAGGATATTGGGATTATCCCGAGGCCAATATAATATATCTGCCCGAGGGCAGTAGGGCCCGAGGGTAGATATATTATATTGGCCAAGGGATAATCCCAATATCCTGAACCGACTATAGGATGATCTGTTTATCCCATATCAATCACATTGTTCAATTGGCCAAAGTTCAGAACCTTTGCAACCAACCGTGGAATTATTTTTTTATGTTCATGTCCAGTTTTGTATTCTTGTCCGTGGCCGGATTTTCCTGTTCAAATCTTTGATTATTAACAGGGGAAACTGATCCTTCCCTTCTTTAGAGCATCAAACAGCTCGCGATTGTCTGTGTTTTTCTCCATTGTCGTTTACAGTATGCGAACGTTACAAAAACGAACCAATACGGGAACAGCGATTATGACGTAGCGGGCAGATATACTATATCTGCCCGCTCGGAGCGGGACGTAAAGCTATATCTGCCCGCTGATGAAAATATAAGTTTTTACAAACCGGCTTTATGTACCCGTAACACGTCAAAGTATGGGATAAATTAATTTAGGCTATGATTTTAGGAATAATCAAATTTTATGTTATCAACTAATTTTTATGTTTTTTCTATATTTTTCAAATTTTTTCATCTTTATCTTAATTTATTATTTTTTACTGAATTTTATAATTTTTGCTTCTGTTTTACTGATACATGTATTCACTTCCTATGAGATAACACAATACAGAATGCCAGTATGTGAAATATTCACTTCCTATGAGATAACACAATACAGAATGCCAGTATGTGAAATATTCACTTCCTATGAGATAACATAATACAGAATGCCAGTATGTGAAATATTCACTTCCTATGAGATAACACAATACAGAATGCCAGTATGTGAAATATTCACTTCCTATGAGATAACACAATACAAAATGCCAGTTTTATATGATATTCACTTCCTATGAGATAACACAATACAGAATGCCAGTATGTGAAATATTCACTTCCTATGAGATAACAAAATACAAAATGCCAGTTTTATATGATATTCACTTCCTATGAGATAACACAATACAGAATGTCAGTATGTGAAACCTGGTTGGAGCCATACTGATGGAGTAGATTAAATAACATATCACCAATGAAATCCAATCAGTTATTATTGCCTAACTCATCATTGCAACAGAACTATACAAATATACACTTTTCATTAGGCTCTTCACTTCCTACTCTAGTCCAATAAGACTAATATTCAATCTGCATAATCCAACAGCACTGACATTAAACAGCATCATACACTTGTCTAAATCATTCTAAGCTCAGATATTGAGATAACATAAATGTACATGTATATATGCAAGAATAGGCCAAAAAGGAAAGGTAATATTAAGCTCAATATTATAGAAAGATTGAGGTTAATACTTCTTTTCCATTGGCCTATGCATACAAGTATCCCTATTCTTCCTAGGGAGATACATATATTTCCCTCAGGATTAACCATTTATCTATATCCTCCCAGTATTAACCCTTATGATAATATAACACTTGAAATTCTGTATTTCTTTACTATATATTATCTCTTTGTGCCCCCCCCCTGCCCCAATATAAATTTGATGAAGGAGACAATAAATTCAAGAAATGTTATTCATTAAGTAAAGTTGATCTTTATGCAAAGTCAAGCTGGCCTTCAATACCTTTTTCTACTTAATTTGATGATTCTGATAAGCATTCAGACTAATTCCCAAGACATCTTAGATCTTTAGTGTAGTCAAGCGTGAAGGAAGGATATAAATTATCTATAATCAAACAGTTGAACCTCTACAGATGATTTCCTATTGAATATATGGCTGTAATAATTTATCTTATTATTTGACATTTTAAACCTTTAATATTTATAAAGAGGATGACCTTGGTCTCTGGCACATCGTTATACCTTATATACATGATAAATCTTTAAGAAATGTTCATGATTATAATAACCAATAATTGATGAAATATATACGAATGCAACATGTTTCTTGTCTAATGTGCAGGATATTGTTATATGGTTAAACACCTTCAAAATCAAAACATTTTGATTAAATGATGAATGGCATTTTCCAATTTCTTTTTTCAACTTTTATTTGATGGTACGGAACTACCTTAAAGGCCTCTTATTCCTATGGGAAAGATGTCACTAGTTGAAGCAGATGAACCAGAATAACAAGTATTTTTAACAATATTATTGCTTGAGTGCAGTGAACTAATGATAATAATGATAAACAGCAATAACTACAATACAATGATTTCATATTAGATTCTGCTTGATATTATTCCCACAAGTATAATGTAAAAGGAATATTTTGAAATACAGAATAGAAGCCAGGAACATAAAATAGACACATAGACACTAAAATTAAAATTCAGAATGAGATTTATTTGATTCTAGACCTACATTTTGGAGAATAAATGACTGGACTAACTTTTAATCATTCAGTCAAGTCTTTCAAAACTTTCAAAATATGCAAAAAACTTGGGACTGTTTTACCTCCTTTGCTAGGAAGAGCGCACTTTGACATTGTAAAAACAACACATGATTGATTAGAAAACGAAGTTAAATATAATGTCAGATCATCTAACAAAAGAATGGAAAAGTTTGGCATGAGTAAAAATGATGTCTGGCATAATAATAGTATTGTCGAAAACAAAAACAATAAAACTAGTTAATTTCAAGTCTGTTTAAAACAAGATTCTCACTGCTATGAAAGATCTTGCAGAAGCTTACAATGTAATATGACAACGCAGGTGGTTTTCTTTGATCAACTATTCTATCTCCCTGTAAACAAGAGAAGGAATAATTGTGGGAGATATTTTCAGCTAGGAGCTTTCTCCTTCAGGAGGCAATGACTGATGTAACTATGACAGCAAATATCATTAAGAAAACAACATAAACTTTTATGTGCTCATAAAACATATAGCTAACCCTGAACTATTCCAATATAGATGTATCAAGAGTTAAGGTAGTTACAACAAGAGATTTTGGGAGGGTTTCATGATTATAATTATCAATAATTATCAAAAACGGGTAACAATGTTTTTCACATTTTTGTGTGGATGCTCGCATGGTATACAATATGTTGTTTGAAATCAAAATACTTTGCATAATTCTGATTTCCCAATTCTTTGTTCTCAACTTTTAATGGGGAGTGTAGAACTAGCTTAAGCACAAGTATATGTTTCATGAGTGTTGATGTTTTACCTCAGGTGCTAAACACAGACAGGTAAATTAATCACCAGGTAAAGATATTCTATGTTTTCTCATTCTAGTATGTCTGAACCCTTTGAAGTCATTAGCCATTAATAACTTAACAAACTACTCCTTATATAATGCTTTCATGCCATTTTTTAAACCTTGAAGTCGGTAAATGACTACAAAATTACATCTGGCCCTAACCTGAAATGACACACTGGCCATGTTTGAGAATCTTGAATACCCTGATGCTAACTGACTGGAAGTAATAGTAATGAAGCTCTTATTAAACTCCTGAAAGGGTAAGGCTTGAGGGGAAAGAGGTAAAACAAGCAAGAAATGAAGCAAAACAGGCATGAAGACATTGAAGAGCACATTCAATATTGTAGAAACTTAAAGAAATCGGTAAATCTACAAATCATGCAGAAGAAACATGAATGATCATTCTCCTAGTAAAAGCTAAGAAATATTTGAAGCTCAGTTTTCTAATAAACTTTCTTTCCATTTCCAGGTACCTGCCAGAAAAGGCAGGCTGACATTTCATTACCGCTATAGAAGCCTAATACATTTGATGGCTTCTAATGATTAATCTGAATTCAATGCACAGCTACATAGAGGATACAATTCACAAAGTCAATGCATATCTGCTGGGATACTAAATGAACAAAGATGATTTTATAGATTAGATTACTTGAACTAAATATACCAGTACAACATTAGTGTATGCCCAGGAGGAGGTGGGGAAGGGGGGTGGTGGTGACTTACTGCAAAGAACGCACCTAGTACCAATAGATTCTTCAAATTCTTGAAAGGATAGACTCTTGAAAGAGTAAATAGAAATGTGTGTTGGATACAAAGATGTGTTGTTAACCCATGAATGTGTAAAATACTTTTTTTGTGATATACAAAAATGTGTAAAATATAATAAGGTGTTGCATACATAATTAATATGCTTCCCACCTGCACATTATAAATGGGAAGGAGGGCATCATACTAGCTGTATGTACCCTGTAAATAGGGAGAAGGGGGATTCTTATATATTACAATTCGTATGTAATTTCAAATAAAGCAGCAAAATTCTTAAACATTCTTGGAAGAATTTAGATACAAAATGGAGAGTGACATGTTCACATGAGCCTGCAATCAATGCAACCACAAAAATGCAGACCTCCAGCCTGAATCCTGCCCTACCTAGAATGTGCTTAGATTTCAAAGTAACATTTTCTGATCAAGTTTAGCAGAAAATCATAGCCCATGGTTCATTTAGGTTTATACATCTTCATACACTTGGTCTTCACTGCAAATGATAGTAGAGAATTTCAATCCAGAAATTGATAAAACATTGAATGTTTCGGGTGATATTTTAGAATTAGACATGTAGATAGTTCCTAGATTTATTCTCATCATAAATATTACAGGTCAACCCGACATAGAGATGCTCAATGTGTCATAAAGTAGATTGATTTATATCACTAATTTTGGCCTTATTTTCTCCCAGTCAGTAACAGAAAAATGGAATTATTTTGCCAAGTTTGGAGTTAAAAAATAAAGGTTTTTCATAACATGAGAATGACTGCCTCTATGTTATAAGCACAACTAAATTTCTTTTTCATGTCATTTCCTTTTCTAGGGGTGATAAAATATCGATGAATTGTAACTCGAATGACTCACTTTTTCTGAAATGAAATTCTCTCCGCCTCCCTCGCAACCAAATTCCAAAAACACTTTATTCATTACTTGCAACGGGTCACA